GTTTCCATAAACATCCTGGTAGCACTGGTAAATATCTGGACAGAACACTGGGTCCTTTCCAAAAATGATGTGCCAGGAATATTCCATGATCCAGGCAGTGAGCTCATCCGGCAACTTGTTCGTGAGGACCCAATGGTAGTACCGTTGATAGTCACGCAGAGGACGCTTCAAAACCTGGGCTTTGGACACAGCGAATTGCGAGCAACAAGGTGCGCCAACAACTTCGGGTATGTTGGTGTTGTTGTGCAACTCTTCCCACGCCTTGGCATAGGCTCTACTGTTCTCCTTGCCTGGCCGAGGCGGATTCTCTAACGGACGGATCTCATCAGGGCATCCAGGGGAACCCTGGCACCTCAAGGAGACGAAGCCACTCTGCTGCACGAACTCGGTCTGAAGTGATCGGACCGATTCCACATTGCTATAATCCAGTGTATCGGTGTGCCAACCCGCCTCCCAGCCGTCTTTGTGGCTGTGGAGGAAGACCATTGTGGACGGAAGGTCATGGTAGTGATCGACGATGTATTGAAGGTAGGCAAGACTCTCGCGGCCTTTGTTCTTCGGGGTGTGTCGAGCCGCGTTCACGTCATCAACGGTGTAGATGAAGTTGCGCCATCTAGACTAAAGTCAGCCTGAGCTCACTGCGCAAGGCCTTTCCCATGGACGACTCACTCGTTCAAATCAGTGCTCACCCAGGACGTGTCCTCCTTGCTCAATTTGGCCATCACAATCACACGGTCATTGGGAACAATAATAGGCGTGATCTCGTAGGTTTGTTTGATCGGAAGAGTTTCTTCTACTGCCGGGACTGGTGTCTCTTGAGGTTTTCTATTTTCAGGTTTGCTGTCGGGAGTAGTGACAGGCTTTGCAGCGCCGCCCCCTACAACGTTGCTGAACTGCCAAAAGGACGGTACGTGCGAATCATCCTGAAGGGAATCCAGATGGCTCTTGATCAGGATGAAGGCGAGGATCAGAAGGGCAGCCGACCCAACACGGTAGGAAAGTCTCATCGCATAATATCTGTCGAAACTGCACACTGAAACCGAAATGCAGGAGAAGGTCAAGGTGGTGGATGCGGACCAGGAGCACGTAACTTCGCGCAGGCAGGCAGAAAGGGATGGCAGGATGGATAAGAAAACACCCCAAGCTCCTAGGCAGCTCAACAATGGGCGAACCGGGAACAGGAAAACCTACACCAGAAGTAGCAGAGCAATTGAAAGCATAATAATAATACGAGCCTCTCAGTTTCCACACGGAAGGGCAAGGCGCCAAAATTAGTTGACACCGTAAGCTGCCGTGGCTAGATTGACCTATGTTATACGGACGCTTATCACTGGAAGGATCCCGCGGATTGGTGGGTTCGGGGGTGAATTGGCCGTGATCTGCAGGGGCCGAGAAGACGCGATGACACGGCAAGTCACTAACACTTTGCACTGTGGCTTTTTCATTAATCAATCTCAATCTCTCCTGAAACCGTAAGTCGGCAGGGGCTGCAAGGATTCGTAACCAACATGGGGAGTCTGGGGCAGACGCGATAAGATACTTATTATTACTGTTTCTCTGTTGCTGCCAACCCTCTACACAAATCATCATGATGGTGCTGAAACGATCCCGATTATGTAATTATGTCACTTTTACCTAGTCTCACTCGGGGTTGAATGCCGATCCTTCAACCGACTCGGTATGGCCCAATTCATCCGCTTCTAGGTATCAATAATGGTCACTGCGTCCGCCGGCCTCCGCCAGAGCCTTTGGGTCCAGGGTCCAGGGTCCAGGATCTGCTCTGATTCTCAAAGACATTAGACTGAATAATATCTAAATTGTCGCACGTCATCCATCAAGGAACATAGACCCGGAGAGGATATTGTCATGTCAATCAGTCCGGTCTTGAAGATCCCGTCTCTGATATGTTTGCGATCCACATCCGATAAGTTTATCTCAAACATCATCGGGCCACCGTAGCCAGGTTTGCCTGTTGCAGTGTCTCACAGGCTGAATTTATGGTTACCTCTCTGAGTTCTCCACAGGCAGGCTTCTCCAGGGAACGTCAAGACACAGTGTGGAGGTGCTATTAGTGATTCACTCACCATGAGCCGAGGCTCTCTCAATTTCACAACTTTCTTACCCCACAGGTGTAAAATAGACAGTCCATATGGCGCATCCCAAGAACAACTGGGATGTGGAGAATCAATCTTGCAATGACAATGTTTGCTATGACTAGCGTAGTGCCATGCATGTTACTCACAGTACTCTGTTAAGGAGTGCAAACCAATACTGTTCACTACTGTACTACAAAGGGAACGTGTGCTTGCGAATAGATCGGCTGGCCCGTTTATGACAATTAGATGTAAGATGCACAGCAAAATGACCATATGATCTTCCATCTGTGGATCACATACATACGGAACAGCGTTCTAAGGGGAGGTTCAATTGATATGATACTATTATAGATAGCTATCTCACAAGCACCCATAATACTGAGCACAAGGTTTATATGAGGTGATTGAACAAGTGAGTAGGATCTTGGGGGGCATAATACATTCGATTGGTCTAAGGTATCTCAATAAATCATAAGTCAAAATCGTCAGGGGCACATCGTGATCTGATCAACAACATCTGCTCAGAAACTGCTCCAACAAACCTCCAATCAGAAATAAAGGACATATCTATCAAGTATTATCGTCAAGGTCAAACCAACCGCCCAACTAAGTGAAATCTCAACAGAACCTAAGAAGACCCAAAGAAAACATCAGAGCAACGCCATGCCAAAACACAAATGCACAAAGACGCTATGGTAAATGCATGAACAACCAGGAAAGATGAACAGCGGGAGAGCCAACAACAGATGCATCAGCAGCATCTCCCCTTCTTCTTCGCGACCTCCATCAACTCATCAGCCTCGTCACCAGCACTGCTCGGCGGAAACCCAAGCCAACTCCTGCGCTTATCACCATGGCCCAACCGGAAACTGCCGTTCCCATCGAGATTCCCCAAAGACGAAAGAGCCCCGTCAATCCCGGGCGTCGTTCCCTGCGACGAGCTATTCGCCGCCTCCCGCTTATTCCGCTGCTCGACCAGCTTCCGGGTGATCACACGAAACACCTCCTCGATGCCCTCGCCATCCTTGGCACTAATCTCGTGGCAGCAATCCCAGCCGATATCCTGTCCCCAGAACCCACTACTACGCTTGCTATCGGGGCTCTGCAGCGCACTAGACGACGGACCAAACCCCAACCCCATCCCCGCCGTGGGCGGCGGCGTCGAAGCCTGCGACGGGTACAGCTGCTCGGCGACATAGGCAATCGTCCGCTCAAACGGCACCCTGCGGCGGGACGGGTCCAGCGCAACGATATCCGACTTGGTCCCGACAACATGGATCACGATCGGGTCATCATCCGCCAGATGCTTCTTCAGCTCCAGCAACCACCCCGTCATCTCCTCGAAACTCTGTTCGTCCGTGATATCATAGCAGAGCAGACACGCGTTCGCGCCACGGTAGTACAGCCGCGAGATACTCCTGAACCGCTCCTGGCCGGCCGTGTCCCAGATCTGTAGCCTGACGATGGTGTCGGAGGTGCTGTCGAGGACGCGCTTGGTGATGAAGGAAGCGCCGACGGTGGACGTGATGGTCGCCGGGTTAAAGGCGTTCTTTACATAGCGCTGGACGAGAGAGGTTTTGCCGACTCCTATGTGACAGGTAGATAGTAGTTAGCGACATGGCACTAGGTAGGCCCAAAGAACGCCTCTTACCTTGGGAGCCCAGCACAACAATCTTAGCCTCGAGGGACGAGCTCATGGCGGGGTAGACGCGATAGCGGGGCGGACGGAGAGCGTCTTTCGCATGATCCGGCCGAGCAGATCCTCAAGGGGGGAAATTGTCCGCGATGGCACGGACTGAAACTAGAGCTATAGGTGATTCTAGACCCGGATGCAATGAGATAAGGGTCCAGGCAGACGGGCACAAGCTGCGCAAAAAGATTCTGGACTCTTTCCCTGTCGGTCGGGGAATCGGAGAGGGGGAAAGATGAAAACGAGGGAAGAAAATAAGGAGCGGGACGAGAAGGATGAAAACAAGGCTATTCATAAATAACATTCAAGATATTCTAGTCAGAGGCTGAGCCAAGACACATGCTGAGAACTGAAGCAGCTGATCACTTTCAGTGAATATTTATCCCTTTTAATGTCCCTGATAGAGATGTCCTTTCAACCACGGTTGAGAATTAGTTCTTTGTTGTGTCTCAGATCGATGAGACGACCATGGATGAAGAGATGATTAACAGGTCAACTCATCAACTCCTTACATTCTTGACCATACTATAAAACTTGATTTAGATTCCTGGAGCAACTCATATAATAATAATATGATATCAATAAGGTGAAAATTGATCCATCAGAAGGCAACACTCCTTCCTTTATGACTCGTAGCGGCAATGACTTCCGTGGCTGAGCATCTGACTGAAGAATGTGACTCAACAGGGCTGGCTATTTTCCCTCGCATTCGATAGTATTTGATTATTGCTTTAATATCCCTATCATTCACTACTGTTTCAAGGCTATTGTTATATGCTATCCAGCATGGCGGCCTAGGCTACAAGATGAACGACAAAATGAAGCAACGATGTTGTGTGTATTGCATGTCTATCATGACTCTATTGGTATCAAATCCCTGCCACAACCATCTATACAAAGAAAGAAATGCCTCAACAGGTCATAACCTCTATAAAACAAATGTCTCTTGGATGAGACTGCAAAGGGGTAGTCGCGCAAGCAAAAGCAAAAAATCAAGATAGACCAAGCACCCAACAACCAGACTGAACAGCCACCACATCCTTGACGGGTTTCAAACTCGTTCAACTTCAGTCAACAAGGCCGGAGCTCCAGCTCAGCCATAGAAACGACAAGAGAAATCAGAAAGAGAGACATGAGACGGCATTGTTTCATCAGAATGCGTCCATAAACTTTTGTCTTCATATATAATCTCATGAATAGGACGAGACTGGCTCTTACTGGGTCGTCTCCAGTCTTTGGGCGGCATTATGCTCAGCGTGAGCCTTCTCAATTTCGTCAAGAGAGTCACCGGAAGCGGAAGCATACTCGGCCGCCTTGGCCTCAATCTCATCGTCACTAAGTTTGGGAAGCTCCCTCGCAGCCTTGACGTAGCTAATGTTCTCGGCGTAGCCCTTGGCGAAGATCAAATCGATCTCCTCCAGGCTGCGATTGGCAGTCTCCGGGTAGAAGAACCAGATGACGGGAATGAACGAGGCGTTCAGCGCAGCAAAGAACAGGTAGGTACCCCAGCCAATGTTCGCAACCATCACAGGAGTGATCATGACGACAGTGAAGTTAAAGAGCCAGTTGCTGCAAGTAGAAACTGCGTTGGCCTTGGCTCTGGTCTTGATGGGAGACAACTCAGCGGGATACAGCCAGGGCAAAGGCAACCACGCAGCACCGAAGGCAGCCATGTACAGGAAAAGACCGAAAACAGCACCCTTGGAAGTCTGCTCATCTCCGGGAATCAAGCAAGCGAATGTGATAACCATGGAGATGGTCTGAAGGAATGAGCCTCCCAGGAAAAGCTTGCGACGACCAATCTTTTCGATGAAGAACCACGAAAAGGTGGCGAAGATGGAGTACACAATCATGTAATGCCTCCAATCAGCAGGGCCATGTCATTGCTCTGGTGCAGAGACTCCTTCAACAAGACAGGGAGATAGTAGATCACAGCGTTGCAACCTCCGAGCTGCTGGAAGATTTGAGAAGAGGAGCCGACGAGCATACGGCGGAAATGTTGGGTACGGCCGCCAGTGAGAAGATCTCTAAATCTGGTCTTCTGACCGGAACCAGAACTGTAGCAATGTTAGTCGAATTGCCATACAACACAAGGACCGCAGATGCTATGAAAGGGAACACTCACGCTCTGATGGAGTCAATGACCAATTGTTTCTGAATCTGGGTTTCATGATCGTGGACCTCGCGGCCTGCCAGAGCAGCAAGGACGTACTCTCCCTCTTGGATGCGATCCTTGGAGATAAGGTAGCGAGGGGAGTCGGGAAGGAAGAACATTCCGACGACGATGACGAGACCAAAGAAGATCTGGAATGCAATGGGGAAACGCCAGACAAGATCATCGGGGCCATAGTGAGCGCCGAAATCAATCCAGTATGCAATGGCGGTACCAATGGCGATCACACCGCCTTCGATACAGATCAAGAGACCACGGTTGCTTGTCTTAGAGCACTCGGCCTGGTATGTAGGAATGGTAGAAGTGTTCATCCCGTTTCCGATACCGGTGATGACACGGCCAATAAAGAACTGCAGAAGAGGGATGTGTMCAACAAATGAAGTAACCTGGATGATGACACCGACGATCATAACGATAGCACCGGAAAAGATCATCCAGCGTCGACCAGTGCGATCACCGAAAAGAAGGGCGAAAATGGCACCCGCCAAGCAACCTGCAAATAGAAAAGGTTAGGAGCCGTCGCGAACAAAAGAGCCGGAATCAAGAATACTAACCAAGTTCGTACACAGCAGTCACAAGAGCTTGCATAGTAGCATCATCTTTGGTAGCAGTAAAGACGTTGGCAAAAGCATTGTCACTGATGATACCAGACATGACACCCTCTGTCGCCTGTATTAGCTTGGTTCATCTCACAAGGTTATATCAGTAGAGGAAACGACTTACGGTCATATCCAAAGAGTAGGAAACCCATCGTGGCAACAGTCGATACAGCCAGCGACAGTGGCCTGCCCGACATGCCAGCATATGAGGGCGCCATGATGAGAGGACAGAAGAACGTTCGACAGGCGGGTTAGGGGAATGCGTATGTACAGAGGTAAAGCGGGACCTCCAGGGCAAATAGACAACAAGCTTCTAGGTGCCGTTGTGCCCAATGCGTCTCTTCTCTAGAAAAGAACGAAAGGAAAAAGAAAGAGAGGTTAAAAGCAATTGAAAGGCAACGGACAGGACGCGGAGAAGCCGGGGGAAAGGGGGATATTTCTACTTCTCCAGGAGTCAACAGACAGACAGCTGTGGCCACCAGGTACACAGGCGACAGTCTCTCCTCATTCCCCCGAATCGATACATGCTCCACCAACCTACCACACTCTCATAGTCGGTGGAACCATCGTTTTGTGGAGCCAGGGACTGAACGCATCAATAATCGCAGGATAAGCATTTTTTTTGGGTGCAGCCCACGACCCACAGTGGGTTCAGGATGAGCGCCAAAAATGACATCACAGGCTCCATCAGATGGAGCATCCGCACAGAAACGGACAAGAGCGACGACAAAACAGATTGAAGTCTCGGACACGCAAAGAGGGTCCGACTGAAGCGCTGGGCATCATCATTTGGCGCCCGCCCTTCGGCACTTTGCTACCACCATTCTGCGACCAGCAGTTGTCAGTGACCGGATCACCACTCTTTCTTCCTCGTCTTAAGCGAATCTCTGCTGTGAGACGTCCTCCACCAAGGGCTCTTCCGTGTCTCCACACTCTACTCCTCTCCGCTCCTCTCATTCATGGTTCGCATAAGGAAATACATATGTCCGCTGACTGGACTTCCAGTTAGAATTGAGATGGACAAATCAGACACGCGGCGAGGATGGGTTGACTTACCGTATTCGGTGCTCAACCAGGAAACTAACACGAGTGGGAGATCCCATGGGGTTTTCACGTGCCTGATGAGATAATCCACATGAACCACAGTTGAATTAACCACAGAAGGAGCCAAGGTGGTTGACTATATCTGTCCAACGCATAACTACCTAGATATGTAATAAGTCTCATTCATTGCTACGCGTCTTTCATCTGCACATAGTACACACTAGTTCTACYGAGTACTACTCCGTACGATAAAGGTGGTTGACTATATCTGTCCAACGCATAACTACCTAGATATGTAATAAGTCTCATTCATTGCTACGCGTCTTTCATCTGCACATAGTACACACTAGTTCTACTGAGTACTACTCCGTACTATCGTCAAAGCGATGGATCATTCTTTGTACGCCATCCCGTCATCCCGCGCTCGGCAGCCAATGTCGGCCCATACTCAACGGGAAGTGACCGTCTTCCGACAACTAGTGTCGGTAACATGCAAGGCGGACGCACACCTTCATTGAATAAAACAGTACATTCGGAGCCAATAACGACCCTCGTAATAATTTTGTCTATTGGTCGTGGTGGGTGAGGTCCGATTGTGATTCGACGCCGATGTCTCTGAAGCATGGGACGCATGCGACCATAAGGACTTCTCTCCACTTTACCCAGTCCTCCACTCCAATGCCTGAATAATCGCTTTCATAATAATAATATTAATAACCAAACCATTACATGAGTTTGTATGGCTCATTTAATTACTCCCCTCAATGTCTGCCTTCGCCTGAGGCTACAGCATTAATTCGACTCCATATCCTTGCCATGTCATCGTCTGTCCTGACCCAATCGTAGCGTTTTCCGGTCTCTATCCGGCCCATTTCCGGTGCATGAGATTGGAGTCAACTAAGTCGAAAACGGTTCTTAGTGCATACTTCAGATGCAGCAGGCCATTACTCTGAATCATGACAGATGCAAACTTTATGCTCCCTCAAGGCAGCCTCCTATGTCAATACCCGTGCGCCATCTTCTCCGCGCTGAGTGGCAATCCAAGAGCGCGGGGAGATATTATCATCATAACTACGTCAACGTAGGAGTCTAAAAAAACTCTTCTTCACAAGCGCCAAGCGCCAAGCGCGACAAGAACAAGGGAAGGAATGTGAAGCTCAAAAGTCCTTTATCTTAGTTGAACCAAGTGTCGGATAAGCGCACTCGGCGCGCAGTAATTCATGCTATGACAGTTTGCGCCAAGAAGGACCATGTGGAGGCGCTCGAAAACTTTGGGTTAATACGGATATCGGGAGTGGCTGCTGGGCGCCTGGAGACAACGCCACCAACCAAGAAGAGTTCATAAAAATCCTCACCACATTCAAGGTTTTGCTGAATTCTTATTTAAGCACAATGTCCAACGAAATTATTGTTCCTGCTCGGGCATTCCCCAGGTGGCGTCATACCATGTGCGAGATGGTAGAAAGGTTACATTTGCCGACTTGGCATGGCGTTAAAAGTAACTCGGCCATCTACGTAAGTGGCACAATCTCGGTTTGTGTAGGGCTACAAAGTACGGAGCAGGTACACAGGGGCGATTTGCCCTAGATAAGTAGGGCAAGTCCGAGGTAACAGGCCCAGTAACCCCATTGGAGAAAGGAAAGCCCACCAGTCTTGTTAGACAGACTCGCTTAATCTCAGTGTAGGTAGATATATCGGTTTCAGATCTCAATATACGGATAGCATACAGTGAGATGTGATGTAGTGAGATGACAATGATATTGAAAATATTACCGGGATCCCCATAACTTCAGCCAAATGCATACGTGGGAATTCTCTAGCATAGATAACTACCTATTACTTCTGTGCATTAATGTGAATCAGAAACAAATGTGTTGGCGCGAGCTATCTACAGAAACGCTTGCTGCTTTCCTCGGGAAATCCGGGTCTGTAGCCAACACCAACCCGAGCTAGGAAAGTATCAACAGATGATCTTTGTCAAGTGCACAACAGACGGCCCGATTGTTAGTCATGGATTCGGCTTGCACAGTCAAGGGCCGACCGTTTACAGTCGGGCTTGGCTCCCAAGACTCGGGAATGTGTCACGGAAAGAATGCGAGAAATTCAAAAGCAGCCGATCGCGTCCGAGAAGGCCTCTTGGCGATGGGACGGGCATCCAGTAACAATAACCATCATGTCTTGCTCAGTGCTCACCGACAATGTCTTGAAAGGAAAAAGGAACGAAACAAAAATTGTAAGAGAGTGAGATGTGAGACGGCGAGCGAGACGAGTAGCTGAGTTGTGCTTGTCAGCACCGTAAATGTGGTGTGGCTATGCACATAATAAAGTATACTAATCTTTGTATACATCGGACATACTCAATGCAAGAGKGTCGAAACAATGCAAGGAAGCAGCAAAAGCTGATGGAGGAGACCTCGAATTTATACCACTGCCTCGACTGCATCAGGTCCTCCACTGATCGCCGGAACTACCAGCTTGAATGAGGCTATAATCATGTTTTCCTGTACGCTCAAGCTTGCTCATCCTCGCCCGAAAGGGATGACCTTCACTTCGGCATAGTCGGCTCCGAAAACCCCCATAGGCTTGCCAGTGTCTTTGAGATTATCCGACGGATAGATCAACTAAGTAATAGATAACTTATCACGCAACACGACTTGGGTGAGATTGCAGAACCATTATAAGCATCATTATCGGTACAGAATATCTTGTCTACTTTGCAGAGAGTACCATATTATAAGCGGCGCCTATTCCGAGGATACTTGTTACCTTAATGTGCCAGTTGCGTGTTCATACTCCGCAAATTGTTTGCTTTCAGGTGGAATCCCGAATTGATGGAGCTTCGCCGGACAAGTTTCTCAAATAGTGGCTGGCTCCTCTAGCCTGCTCAATTCCGCAAAAAGGACAAATAAGCTCCTCCGTGTCTCCATGAGATAAAAGAACATCTGACCTCGTCTCTCGTCGGTCGKGTTTGCTAATCCGCTCAGACTCGACAAAACTTCAGTCCTGTATGTCACGTGACTATGAAAGCACTACATGAGCCTGATTAGCCAGGAGGGGCGTCCAAAATGTTATGACTTATGAAGCCCATCGATCCGATATAGTTGTATAACCTCTTTAAAGAGGAAAATGGGATCTTAACTCTGAATCGCCCGAACCCCGTACTCTTCTCGGGCGAATTGCCTACCACTACGTGCTGCGATCCGATCTGGTGTCATGAAGATAAGAGTCGGCCGAGAAAGCAAAATCGCCCGGATATCTCTCCCCGCAACCGCAGCTGGACTTCCCCAGGGCCGAAGATCGCTGGCCTTCAGCCACTCAGATATTCTCCCCCGGACCTTCTCCTTAATTATTTTCATTCGTCCTTGATTCCTTCCATCTATCAAAGAATAGTCGTCACCATGAGACAAGGGAAGCTCACTGGCGCCGAGGTCGCCAAGCACAATTCCAAGGATTCCTGCTGGGTTATCGTGCATGGGAAGGCGTACGATGTTACAGGATTTCTGCCAGGTACTGTTTCTGTATAGCTTAGCTTTCCTGATAGCACCCTCACAATGAGCAGAACACCCAGGTGGCCAGAAGATCATCCTGAAATATGCCGGAAAAGATGCGACTGAAGAGTTCGACCCAATTCATCCTCCCGATACGTTGGACAAATACCTTGACCGATCGAAACATCTCGGCGAAGTGGATATGGCAACCGTTGAGCATGAAGAGAAGGCTCATGACCCCGAAGAAACCGAACGCCAGGAGCGGATCAAGCGGATGCCTCCACTGCAGGCTTGTTATAACTTGATGGACTTTGAGACCGTCGCACGCAGCGTGATGAAGAAGACTGCGTGGGCTTACTACTCGAGTGGTGCGGATGATGAGATTGTACGTGGATCGACGGGTGGCAACTATACTCGAGTGTCTCGCTAACTTGATCTAGACTATGCGCGAGAACCACAGTGCCTTCCACAAGATCTGGTTCCGTCCGCGAGTATTAGTCAACGTAGAGAACGTCGACTTCAGCACGACAATGCTGGGCACCAAGGTCTCTGTGCCATTCTATGTAACAGCGACTGCACTTGGAAAATTGGGCAATCCGGAGGGAGAAGTTGTCTTGACTCGTGCGGCTCACAAGCACAATGTCATCCAAATGATTCCCACCCTCGCCTCTTGTTCTTTTGACGAG